TGAGCTGAGGCCGGGCAAGAGTGAGCTGAGGCGGCGGGATTGAGAACGGCGGTCCCGGCGGATCCGATGAAGGAGCGGTGAAAACGGTGAAAGCCGATCCGGTGATCCACAGCACTAAGTTGATGTATTTCCTCAGCGACCAGCACAGATCAGCTCTAGGCATGACGAAGCGGATATCGTCCTCTTTTGGAAGGCCAAACAAAGTAGTTTCGCTTTCACAACGAAGCACACAGCGTCTTTACGACATGGCGGCGGAAACAACAAAACTACATCGAGAATAAAAGTTACGTCTTCTTTCTTTGCGTGAACATTTGGGCGGCGTTATGCAAATCTTCCCACATTGTGACATAGACATGTGGGGGCGTGTTAGAACGGGCCGTTTTAGGTAGGCGTGGTTGACCCTTAACTTTTATAAAGAATATCTCTTTGGATTTGAGACTTTAGTCTTTGCAACTTTACAGATCTTCTTTATGTACCAAGAGCTTGTAACACTCCAAAGAGAAAGGAAAAATTGAAATCACATCATATGACCCCTTTAACCCAAAAAAAGTTATGTACTGCAGCTTTAACAACACTGATCCATCTGCAACAGCTTTCCTCAAAGTAGCCAGAAGTAATGTCCCTGTGAGAAGTTTTCCCACCACTAGAGGGAGGCATTAGGCAATCTGAAAGATCTCTGAATCAGCACTACGGTTTGCAATATTTGGTCTGTAATCAAAGATATTTCTGTCCCTTACTATTCTGCCATGATCAGTGATGCTTAACTGACTCCTCCTCAGTCAGTCTCATCTCTTCTGATCATCTTTTGCGTTCTTAATTCATGCTGTAAATATTATTTTTTAAAAACTAATGGAAACTACTTGATCTATAAATGTAGATGTACAACCTGAATCGCGAGGTATTTTAAATCCAGAAAAAAATGCCTTTTATTAAATGCCTGTTGTTCTCCGCTCCGCCAGCGAGGGCGCTCAGACAGCACAACTGAACGGGCCAATCAAGAGCACCCAGCTGGAGTGACGCCACTTCCGTGACAGATTTATCAACAATAACAAAAGCGACGAGGAACAGTTTGGCGATCAAAGTGCGAGTCTTCAAATGACACGACGTGGATAAACTGACGGTTAGGAGTTGGTTTGGATTACAGCGTCCTGTCCCGCGTCTCACTGAGGAGCTGCTCATTCAGTGTAAGACACTTTATGATGATGGAGGGATGTTTTCGGCTCAAGCTAGCTAAATATTAGCTGAAGTATGATCATTCTCAGGTGTTGACTTACAAAGATACATTCTCGTTTCGTGTCTTCTAACATTTAGTCGTCTGTTTTGGTGACTGGTTCTGTCAGCTTTAATATATGAATCTTCGTGCAGTAGCTCAAGGGAAATTCATCTGGCACTGATTTAGTATGCCCTGGTATATTATAAAAGCACTAACCTTTATCAATTTATCATTACGTAATTGTCATGTGGTGGCTTGTAAAAGGTTCCTTGTTTGAAAATGTACGAATGCTGGTTATACTCATGTACAGTACGTTATGTGGTTGTGGGTAGTGTTGGGTAGATTTGCAATGAAATATTATTATATGTGTGTGTGTATGTGTATACATGTTTATGTGGTTTATGAGGACACAAATTTGTATAATGGCATGGATATGACCGGTATTGCAATGTGAGGGTGATTTATGAGGACACTTCCGGTGTCCTTGTAATTCAAAAGGATAAAAAAAATCTAATTTTTTTGAAAATCTAAAAATGCACAAAGTTTTCTGTGAGGGGTAGGGTTGGTGCAGGGCGATAGAAAATGCAGTCTGTACAGTATAAAAACATTATGAATATGGAGAACCATAGAAACCAACAAATTGTGAAAAAACAAATTGTGTGTTTGTGTATGTGTGTGCTAGTTTTGTAGTTCAAGCATTGTCTCTTTGAAAGTTATTTCTGTATGTTAAAATGTAAACAGATATTCTGTAAATTACAAAATATCAACTAATTTATTGCAGTTGCCTGTATAATTTAATACATATCTAATCGTCATCCATAAAAAGTCATTTTTCATAGTTTTTATTCTTTAATTTCAGCCATTTTTGTACTGCTTTTGCTCTACAGCTACTATTTGATATAATTTTTATTTAATAGGTATTTCTTAATTCGTATTAAATGTGCAACATGCTGTAAAATGTAAAGACATCAGCTCTTTTTTTTGTAAGTTGGTACTCAAAACGCTAGACTTTAATGAAACTGCTTTAGGCAGTGTATTGTATTGGCAACTTTTTGTTTAACAAGTCAGCTATTGTTCTTTTAGTACTTTTATATGCACAGCTGTCGAAAGAGTGTTTACATGGTGTTGGTCTCTTTTTCGTGTGTTTTCCTTAGGAGCCTGTAAACCTGCTCTGAGTTGTAACAACATTAAGGTTTTTCATATGCATATTGAGTGTGTTGGTTTGTTGAGGCAGATTAGTGTAGTTACAGCTGAAGGTGAATTGGTCATCTGTCCTTCTTGCTGACCTGGTGTCTTCTTTCTGCAGAGTGCTGTTATCTCTGAGAAGTGCCGTGAGGACGCTGAGCAGAGCCCAGTCTCTTTGCTGGTTTGCAGCCACATTTTCCGTTTGAGCCCTGACACTCAAAGGACAAATAACTTTTGTAGTAAAAGTAAACCTTATTTTATGGCACAGCTGTGTCTTTGGACCTGTGAGGACAAATTGCGCAGCAGGTGAGAGCATTTAATATTCTTGCTTCTCATATACATATCGGTTAATCAAGGAAAAGCGTATTCAATATGCTTATTCATTAGTGGATTAACTTATTTTTGTTATAAGACAGTAAATGCTATTCTCAGTAAAGTCGGCAAGAACATGACTTTATTCAGCAGATGGTTAAATCTAGGCCAGTTCTGTTTAAAAATGGAACTTTTAGCCCAGAGGGCTGCAGCTTCTCACTATTTTTTTAACTGAACTGCTTGAGGTTGTCTGACACATGGGTCATGGCATGACACACTTTTTTAATAAATGATGGATGATGGAGGCACCCATACTGTAACTAATAAATGCTGTAAATACTTATATATTTACAGTATGTATTAGTTAAGTGTGTATATATATAATAATAGTTCAAGCAAAACCAGTATTATGTAAGATTAATAAAAGACTGAAAGTCATGTGGTACAATGAGGAAGTGATTTATAGAACATGGCTCTATGTCAAGGTCAGTAAGCCTCTTCAAATATCAGATAATTTGACTATTTCATGACAAAGTAAGTCTAGTTCGGGATCATTCAGACAAACAGACAGTCCCACCTCAAACTCACGCCATTGACTGAGCTATGTATGACTCCTCAAACAGCATTTTGGGAAATCGACCTACGAATGGCTTGGTTATTTCTGCACATTTAACTAGCAACTATTTAATATTGTTTAATGACACACTTTGTCTCTATAAACGTTTTGATAACTATGTATCTACAGTTGCATAAGGTGCACGGTGTTGGCCGGTGCAATGGAAGCTTCTGAGACAGAAGGCCGCACCTTTATGCAGGCGATCAGTGAGAAGTACAGCCCGGAAAACTTCCCTTGCCGTCGGGGTCCAGGCATGGGTGTCGTGGTTGTGCCGTCTGAACATCAGGGATCACCTATGAAAGGTGAGGCTTGGGTTAGTTAAAAACAAGTCATGTAATGTTCCTTGGTGATTTTAGCGTTTACTTTGGCAGCTGTAAGCTGTTGTTGTGTTTCATTAGTTATGTGGTCATTCTGCCTTCAGACCGTCTGAACCTGCCCAGTGTTCTGGTTTTGAATGGCTGTGGAATCAGTCATGCAGGAGAAGAGGGAGAAATCACTGCCTTCTGTGCTCATGTAGTTGAACTTGATCTGTCCCATAACAAGCTCCAAGACTGGCATGAGGTGAGTTAGTTAGTCTGAGGATCGGAGGATCCACACTTTCATTTTCATCCAATTTCATATGCTGTTATACTTTTTTCTGGAACACAAAAGGAGAAATTTTTAAAGAATTGCTAAACAACCTTATGTTGTAAAACAGCAATTCAAAGCGAAGAGGCTGTCAAGCTCGAAATAAAAATACAGAAAAAGCACCATAAAAATAGTCCATATGACTCATGCGCTGTATTGCTTTATGTGAGAAACTGACTGAAATGACTGATTTTATGATCTGTAAATATACAGTAGTATTAATAAATAAACATACACTACTGTTCAAAGATTTGGGGTCAGTAAGATTTTTTTTTAAAGACAAATGTACCTTTATTCAGCAAGGACACATTAAATTGATCAAAAGTGACAGTAATGGCATTCATAATGTTATAGAAGTTTCTATTTTAAATTAATTCTGTTCATATATGTATGTGTGTGTGTATGTATATTATACATTTTTATGTCCCTAAAATGTGTCTTTTAACCCTTTAATCTATTCTAGATCAGCAAGATTGTTTCTAACATCCCGAACCTGGAGTTCTTGAACCTCAGCTCTAATCAGCTGAATGATGCAGTCTTGGAGCCGGACTGCGCAAAGGCCTTTTCTAGCATCCGCCGCCTCGTTCTTAACAATACCCAGGTGTCCTGGGACACAGTGCACACATTCACACAAGAGATGCCTGAGTGAGTCGCATTTTAAACTCTTGAGGTTTTTGTAGTTTTGAAAAAATATAGACTGATATTATGTGTAACAGTTACTAGTTGTGTACATGTGTGGTATTGATTGCTCTGGCCAGATTTTTGAGACATGGTATTGATTTTATATATTTTTTTCACATGCAGAGTATTTTAATGGCTGTGTACATGCAATCTTGCATATGTCTTGCATAAATTATTCAGTTATCATTTATTTTCTTTGTACCATCATCATGACACTGTTGATTCTCATGGGATCATTCACTTTACCTTGTTACTGTATTGCGCTATAAATGATGTTTGAGAGAATTCACTCTGAATTCATTCAATGGCTTTCAGATAACATTATGGCCAGTGAGAACAGCTCTTTTCTTGCTTTAAAGTGAACCATCAGACTTTATGAAGGTGCCTCTGGTATGACAGCTCTCCACTAATATTGATCTGTTTTGTCCAGACTAGAGGAGCTGTTCCTGTGCCTTAATGAGTACACCACTGTGACACCGGCCGCCATGCCCTTCCCCACAGTGCGTCTGCTTCACATCACAGATAACAGCCTCCACGAGTGGAGTGAAGTACGAAAATTTGGCTCCATGTTCCCTGCACTGGACACACTGGTCATGGCCAACAACTACCTGAGCTCCATTCAAGACTCGGGAGAAATCCTTCAGCGGCTCTTCCCTAACCTTCGAAGAATAAATCTGCACAACTCAGGTATCATCGTGTTTGTGACAGTTGCTGGGAAAGCTTCTAAATAATCATAGTATGTGTGTAATTGTCTAATTATTACTATTCTAGTACAGTGTAATTACATAAACCCAATAAAAACTTCATTTTTACAATTTTTGTGAGTCAGGGCTTAATCGATGGGAGGACATTGAGAAGCTAAACTTTCTGCCCAAACTGGAAGAAGTGAGGTTGCAAGGCATTCCTCTACTGCAGGCTTACACGAGCACGGAGCGCCGCAGTCTAATGATAGCCCAGTAAGTCCAATGTATCTTACATTTATATTTACATTTAGTAATTTAGCGGACGCTTTTATCCAAAGCAACTTACAAATAAGGACAATATACACACACACACACACACACACACACACACATATATATATATATATATTATACACGCACACAAAGAAAAACAACTAGATAGAATAGAAAAAAATAGAAAGCTAGTGTTTTTTTTATATATATATATAAAAAAAGAAGATAAATAGATAAAGTAAAATTAAAATAGAATAGAAAGTGCTAGAGGGTCAAATAAAGATGGAACAGATGTGTTTTTAGCCGTTTCTTGAAGATGGCTAAGGACTCAGCTGCTCGGATTGAGTTGGGCAGGTCATTCCAGGGATGAATGTGATGACAGAGAAAATAATTGGTGAATTTTTATTTTTGGGTGAACTCGCACTTTAACCTCATTAGAAACTGATAGTAATGTTGTAGAAATGTTGATGAGAAGATCTCATTGCTCCCGCCTGCAGACTGCCATCAGTGACCTGCCTGAATGGGAGTGTCGTGACAGATGCCGAGAGAGAAGACGCTGAGAGATTCTTCATACGTTATCACTTGGATCATTCAGAGGAAGAGCTGCCCCACAGGTATCTTTTAGGCATGAACACTGTAGTACAGACCAGTGGTTCCTAATCCTGGTCCTGAAGAACCCCCAACACTGCATGCTATTGATGTATGTCTTTTCTGACACACATATTTGAGGCCTTGGAGTCTTTACTAATGAGCTGATGAATTGAATCAGGTTTGTTTGATTAAGGAGACATCTAAACTGTGCAGTGTTGGGGGTTCTCTAGGACCAGGATTGGGAAACACTGGTGTAGACCATTTAGAACCTTATTAAATAGTTCTTGGACTCACATTGTGTCTACACCAGATGCAAGCGATGCAACTAACCACAATAGTGTATACTTGCAGTGCGGTGCGATGCGACAAATCGGCAACAGTAAACTGGTGCCCCATTCTATTTCTTATGTACTCGATGCGCTTGCTCTAATTCTAAGGTGTGTTCACACTTGTCATGTTTGGTTCGATTAAAACGAACCCTGGTGAGATTGCTCTGTTAGTGCGGTTTGTTTGAGTAAGTGTGAACGCTGCCATCCGAACCCTGGTGCGCACCAAACAAGCGGACCGAGACCGCTAAAAAGATGGGTCTTGGTCCGCTTCCAAACGATCTCTGGTGCGGGTCGAATGAAATATGAACGCAACACGGACCAAACACTTCTAAACGAACCAAAAACAGGAAGTAATGAAAAGATGCGATGCTATGCGACATGATTTAATGACGTGGAATGAGCGGTACCATCCAAAACAAAATGAGCAGAGGGTAAACGTGGAGCAACGAGGAGGTAAGGTGCCTTTTATGAGCGTTTTGTGAGTTCGCAGGTGGTGAAAATAAAATTATAAGTACATGCAGCAATGAGCGTGCTTAGTCCAGCAGACGGCATTATGTGTGTTCGACTTAAAGCGGCGCTGAGCAGACCGATCGGTGAATGATACTTTGATGTCATACACCGATCGGTCTGTGCAGCACCGCTTTTAAGTCGAACACAGCTTTTGTTTGGGGTATTCGGTGAGTTCCGACGCGAAATATACGTCATTCAACCTGACCAATCAGGTTGTGAACGTATCACTGTGCCTTTAGGTTCGGAATCTTAGGTTTGCTGTCAAAAATGCCAGTGTGAACGCTCAGCGGACCAGGACCAAATGTATTGTTTTCATTTTTGGTCCGGACCAAACGAACCAAGAGAACCAAACTACAAGTGTTAACACACGTGGAAAAAGGACAAATTGATTTGCAGTCACTTGGTTGCGTCAAGTGTAGACAGCTTTTAGCTGTTTAAACAATGGTCAACAACAGTTGCATCTGGTGTAGACACAGTATCAGGCAGCGCAATTCTTTAAACTGTTGGTCTGTGTACTCATAAAGACAGATGCATTTGGGTGTTGCCAAAAATTTCATTCCATTATCTTGTGGTCTGTCCAACTGTTTTTGAACACATTCAGCATAAATCAAATAGTATGTTTTTTTGTTATAGGATTTTGCTTTATTTCAATGCAACTGACTTTGTTTTACGATATATACTCCATATATGACAATTTTGTAAGAAGCATTATTTAGACCAGAAACACACTCTAAGTATAATTAATTATTAAAGGATTAGTTCACTTCTGAATTAAAATTTCCTCATAATTTCCTCACCCCCATGTCATCCAAGATGTTCATGTCTTTCTTTCTTCAGTCGAAAAGAAATTAAGGTTTTTGAGGAAAACATTCCAGGGTTTTTCTCTATGTAGTGGACTTCAGTGGGGTTCACTGGGTGGAAGGTCCAAATTGCAGCTTCAGTGCAGCTTCAAAGCGTTTTACACGATCCCAGACGAGGAAGAAGGGTCTTATCTAGCGAAACGATCAGTCATTTTCTAAAAAAGAATAACAATTATATACTTTTTAACCTCAAATGCTTGTCTTGTGTAGCTCTGCAATGTGCATGCATACTCTGTGCAGTCCCATTCGAAACAGTTAGGGTAGGTCGAAAAACTCCCATCTCATTTTCTCCTCCAACTTCAAAATCGTCCTACATCGCTACAGAAGTACCGACCCAGTGTTTACAAAAGCCCTATTCGCACGGGATTAGTATTACCTGGTGACCTTCAGTCATTTGTAATAATTGAGGAGGTTGTCTGTGATCTTAATCCCGTGCGAATCGGCCATGTCTGTAATTTGTAAAGTAAAAATTCCCCCGCAAATGACCTACCATATTTTGCCGAACACCGAGGTCCCGTGATAATATTAGTCCCGTGCGAATCGGCATCTCTGTGATTCGGCCAGCATTTGGCGGGT